GATGTAAATTGCCTCGAGAGGGTGCAACGGTCAGCTACTAGAATGATCGCGGGAATGAGGCGTAAGTCGTATAAGGAGAGGTTAGAATCCTTAGGGCTTTTCTCCACGGAAAGGAGACGCCTGGGAGGCGACATGATTGAAACCTTCAAAATAATGAAGGGACTGACTGGGCTAGAAGCCAAAAGCCTGTTTACCCGAGCACCGCTCGAGTCAACCAGGGGGCATCATTTGAAGTTAGTGAAGTCCAGGAGCCGACTTAACCTTAGGTATAACTTCTTCACGAGTAGAGTGATAGATGAGTGGAATCAGCTACCATCTTCACTAATAGACTGTAGGACAGTCGACGAGTTCAAAAGGCAGCTAGATGGGGTCTAGACGAGCCTGTATCCAGAGATCATGTAGGGTACCTGGCAGTAGGTGTCTATGCTGCTCTTTTTCAAATAACCTCCCTTTGCAGGTACGGACGCGCCAAGGGAGACAGTTCGAAACGAAGAAATTGGCTGTCGACAAGAAGTCGAAGCTCCGGAAGACGTGTTTCTGACTGGAGCAAGAATCTGGACGCTCGATAGGCAAAAGCCTCTACCGTCTTGTGCAACCTGACCTGACCTGAAGGTCATGACCTTGTCGATCACACCTGTATAAAGTGTGGGAATTCGAAAACAACATTGTCGGTATTAGCGGAATAGCTGAACGGCGTTTGTGAACAACGATAGAGATTACAAAACAGATTCATTTACTGAATAGACTGTGATTCCGTCTTTTTTGCAAGAGGCTTTTTCGAGTCTGACTTATATCCCGAGATTATTCAATTACCATAATTTCAAATGTCAAGTGGTCGATTACGGGTTCTTTGCACTTACCTGCAGTTGAAATCTCAACATGCGTTACACAAAAATCTGCGATTTGCTCCACTCAGCTCGTTCTCTATCACCAATTCGCCGCATCCGAAAGGCGAACATTATGGCACTCCAACCTTACAAAAAAGTTTGGAGAAATACCTTCAGTATGTAAAACCTCTGGTATCCCTTGACCAGTGGAAAAAAACAAAAGAGGTAGATATTTTTTCTTATTGTCAATCTGTAGATAGCAGATGAATTCATACGTTCCCCAGAAGGATCTGAACTTCAAAATCTTTTGGTCGAACGGGCTAAAATGGAAGAGAACTGGGTAAGTTCCATTCAATTCACTCTGAAATATAGCTTCAGGCCACTTATATCTCATATGAATGCACTAAATTTATGTATTAGTTCACATTAACATTTTTTTAGTCACATGAATAATGTGTATATTTATTCCGTGAACCATTTGACATGTGCAGCCATGCAGGTGGTGTCTACGAGTAGTCGCAGTGATAAACAATATAAAAATTCTTAGCTCTTCAAACATAGATAAGCTAAAAAGCTTTAGTATTAGAAAAGTGTTTAGTGCTTCATCCGAAAGATCATAAATACATGTTAACTAAAATTTAGAAACAACTCATCTGAAGTTAGAGTGGACCCCGTTTCTTGCAGCTGGAGTCCAGATTATTTCATGACTGACTGCGGATAGGTTTCCATGCTTTGAATTCCAGGTATTGCAGTACTTCATTTGGTCAGAAAACGAATTCGACTTTGCATAAAGCCGACTGACCTATGTCACTGAGGTAGCTCCATTTTCCATGTTGACTATTATTTCCGTATCCGAAACGTGTAATGTTTCAGCTTATTCTTCAGTGTCACTCTTGCTTGCTTTCAACTAAAGAATATCGCTTTAAGGTGTAATCTAAGGATTGCTTCTGTGCTAAGCAGTAGCTCTACGGTTTAAATGGTCAATTTACATGCAACCGTTCTGCTGTCTCTTACAATAGAAGTATCTCGCCCACTTATCACAAAATAAATTATTTGTATAGAAAGACTCAACAAAAGTTGATCAAGCGATAAATCTAAGGTATAAATATAACTGGTGAAAGATCTTATTCCTAATGTAATTTTTGTGATTCGTACAAGGACTAGAGACTTGCATGCGTATCGTATTCCGCGCAGTAATAATCTAACCCAACACTATTATTCAGAATGAAATCAAAATGCAGCATTCAACAGCGAAGTTGTATTGTGGTATGCGGAAAATGGAAATGTACCAGGATGTTGTGTTGGGTAAAACAAACGAGTTTCTAGTCTATTTACGATCCTCGCTGCAGTTTAAAGGAAGCTCCAGTTTCCTGTAATCAAGGCGGCCCTTGTTGAGCTACCATTTGGATCTTCTTGCCACTCCGGTGTTATTTCCTGCACTTACACTGGAATATAAATAATCGGAAAAAGACCCAGAAATAACAGAATTAATACATTCAACACTAGGCAAATTGCAAAGTATTTGGTGTACATGTCCATNTTGCAAAGTATTTGGTGTACATGTCCATGATGCATAGTTTCAGCATCCACATCCAACGCTCAACGTGCTGTTTGTTTCACGTGGTCTAGTACAATGCATCTGGAGGGTCGTAAATTACTGATAGGGTAATATACAACTTCCGCGGATTCCAAGTGTAGAAAATTTATCCGAAGTGTTTGACTTTTAGGTAGCTTTGATGGAATAGGCCTAGTAGATAAATGCATTGCGTTACGATATTGCATCAGGAAGTTATAGATTCCTCTGTTCTGTTCAACGAACGTACCAGGATTAACAGAATCAATAGCATTCCTCAGTGTGTGCACAAGGTTTTCTGCTGCAGAACTGGATTTTGAATGTCGAGATGACGGTAACGTTCTTAGTAGTGAAATGATTTCCATTATCAGTGAAGATAGCTTAAGGGACATCTTCCCTACTGAACATTTTCCTGAGTGCTTGACTGGTTAAGCAGTAGGAATCGGCAATCACCAATGTGCAATACTTTTTTTGAAGAATAAACCAGAGTAATCCATACGTATTTGTTTTCATAAATCTGGAGATATCGGACACACTCCATTTGGAATGTTGTTCAAAAGTCTTATGTATAAAGTCAGCATAGGAATTTGCAATACAATTCAGGTCGTTTTACTCAGACCATCACCAGGTTAGCAAGAGATCTCATCTCAATGTTAATATGATCGAAATGTAAATAATCAAGAACGGTAGTACGCAGTGCTTAAGGCATAATAAAGTGATATATATAACACAAGATGCCATTGCAGGTCACGGAAATCTACTCATGAAGTTTATGGAATTCCCGAAATTAACAATTGATATCTATGCATCAACCTCAACGGACACAAGAGATGATATCTTGATAAAGGTTCCTGGTCTCTCGAACTAAATCAAATCGGCCTGCCGGAAGCGGTTGGATGAAATGGCATAGCGTGACAGTTAGTCTGCATGTGGAATGGATTGTGCCCTCCGATTACGAATGCCATAGAAATAGGTAGATAACGAAACACTCCATTATTGTACCATGGCTACCGGTGACTTTGACAAGAAACTTTGGGGGTTACAAATAAACTGCAGGTTTTTATGATCAGCCACAATGGTTAAGCGAGTACCAAAACGTTAATTGTGCATGAGCGTGACAACCAATTAGACAGCTAGGGCCTCATGTTGAGTTTGTGAATACCCATGTTCGGCAGCCATGAGCCTGCGTGAGACGCACAACACCAGATGACCGTTCTATTCCAACGCATCTCCATTTCCAACGGGCGATGCATCCGAGATGACGGTGGGAGTTCATCTTGAGGAAAAGGAACTGACAAATAAGCAAAGAAAGTAACTTCCTCAAGGCCCGTTCATGGACAGAAGTCCAGAAGAACGTTTGCCATGATTGCAACTCAAACAATGGGGTGGCTTGAGTTGAAAAATTGGGAACAAACTTGGATTGGAAATAGTGTAGCTCGAATCATGCATGAGTAAGAGATTTTGATGGAGTAAGTAATGCCAACAATCAGTCATTCTTTAAAATCACACTGCGATCCTTGAGTTCGAAGCTGGGGAATGAAGTGACGTCTAGATTGGCTCGCACCACGTCTGAGCGAGTGAAAGTTTGCTCGTTTCAATGATGCATATGGAGTATTCGGAAACGTCAATTTCTTCAATAGAGAATATATACGCTTTTTGATTACCATTAAGAAATTAACAGTTTTAAGTTCTCCTTTGAAAGTTTTCCGCGTAATGCATCAAATCCGAAATCGTTCGAAGTAATCTTCAGCCTCTTAAGCGCCGCCATAAACTAAAGGAATACCTTTTGTTTGAGGTGACTGTGACACCAGTTATTGTGATTCTTACTAGGACAAGAGACTCGCATACTTACCAAATTCCGCGCAGTAATAATTCAGCCCACCACTGGTGCTCGGACTGAAATCAGAACGCATCATTCAGTGAAATGTACGCAATATATTGGCGATATTATCAGGAATTGAAGACTCGTTCCGTAATTTTTATTTCATTTCAATCTGTATTCTGTATGGACAGATGAACGTAAAAATGTAATATTGAAACTCGGTAGTCTAAAGTACAGTATTACATTAAAGATACATTCTTAGATAGTTTAATTGATGCCAAGCCCTCCGCTTTTTAAAATACCTCAACTTTATTTACAAAAGTAAAGCATTCTTGACTTAAATTATTATCGCCTTTATTGTTGAAATTTTATACAATTATCACGATAAAGTTGAGTTATTTCAACATTTTCTTTGACTTTGTTTTGTGCTTAAGCTTTTCGATTGGTGGCTTGCTTCCTACTTGAATTTCCGAGAGCCAGTCGTGGTACACTCCAGTCCAGGAGTGCGAATGCAAACTATGAACTTCCGTTCGGATCAGGAATGGCTAACGCAGGCGGCTGCCGTAATTCAAGGTGTACTGAATTTCAAGGTGAATTTACTTGCTATAATGCATCCTTTACATTTTAAATTAAAAATAGAAGAGCATATCTATTGTTTTGTCCCATGTATTATCTGTGATGAATCAAAACATTACGTAAAAATGGTTGCTGCAACTATCAGCTTCACTTCTACTACGCGTTTGAGGATTCGTTTTTGCTCTCTTTCTAACAAGAAGTAAAACAGTTCCTTAGAAAATAGCATTATTCTTTTTCACTTTTGTCCTCGTGCTTTCACAGTTTCTTCTTTTTAAAATTGAAAAAATCAGGCCAAGCTGGAGTCCGGAGCCTTGGAAACCGAGTTCACTTCTAATGGTTCGGCCATGTGCATGTCTCAGTACTATGCAGCATTGGGTAATTGTCGGATATCAGGAATCCCTAACGATCGGATTCTGAGCCGCCAAGGTGGGCCAAAATCCACCGTAGAGGTGTGCAATATTTCCGTGCTTTACAGAAATCGAGTGAGTTCTAGCTTGCCTGATTCAGACCTTTTTAGTAAACTATGAGGTTTGCCATTTTTAATTACCAGAAGTCGACCCTCATTCAGTATCTATTCCAAAGCAGAGAGCAAAAGCAGTGCAGTTGAGTATCGCTATTGAACTATGTTAACATTTGTGAGGAGGACTGTCACAGAAAATTATGGTCCAACATAGATAGTTAAGTCCATAATGTATCAAGTAACGGAAAGAATAAATTTCCGATCAATGTTTTGATAACACGTCATCCTCTCTTTCATAGATTTCATTATACTTCAGTGTTAAACATGTCTTTATTCCATCACTATTTCTACGCACCAGATGTTGGCATTAAATGTTTTGTGACACCAAATCAGAACCTTACATGGTATTCAAAAACGTTCAAACACGGTGAAAAATGTGGTCTAATCATAAACTTTCTCAGCTGAATGTGATTTATCACTCATTTGTGCGCAACCAAAGGTTTACTTTTATAATAGAACACAATTGCTAAGAAGTAGTGCGTTTCTTTTGAGTCTGTTTAAATTTGAGTGACTTCATTGAACTTGTTGTACCGACTGAATGTGGAACCGTAAGAAAATGTGAAGTATACACCGGTTTTGATAAAATAGTTCACTGATAAATGGAGGTAGTGAGATTCAGTTTAAGAAATATATGCACGCATTAAGAGCTGAATAGAGCTTGCCCTGGTTGTCAAATGCTAGTTAATTCCTTAGTTTACGTTGATTGTGCTGTATAACCTGGATATTGTTGAGACCGGCCAAAAAAGGACCCAGTTTGTGCTTTTCAGTTTACAAGAATCCACGTAAGCATACTTAATTTGTCCAGGCCTAACGCACTGAAAATAGATACCTATGTCCTTAGAATTATAAGTTAAATTCAAAATTAATCCGGTTGACACCTGAAATGCTACCATAAGTCAGATTCAAAAAGATGGAGGTTAGGGGTTTGAGTCTCGCATAACAACATACGCTTTCTGTTTGCTGCATGTCTGTTTTCAGTTCGTCCGAGATTTCCTATAAATAAGATAAATGACATCGTTTTTTAAGGGCACAAGGCGTTCCATTGCTTATAAACTCATTCGACTAGTGGGGAATTAGCTATCTCCCATGAAGTGAAACCCACACTCAACACCATTAAGAGTGCCTGGTGCCTCTGAACAATCAAATGGACTAATCCAAGCCTGATACTCTAAAAGTTGATTCAGTGATTCTTGCAAGGTGATAACCGTCGACCAAGGGTTGAAAGTCCTGACCCGAAGGTTTGTGGTTCGAGTCTTGACGGGGACACAAAAGGTACGCACTTCGGAGGAGTCCTGAACACGACGAAACCGTCGTCCAGCGCTCCTTGTCGGTTATCACAAACATTTCCATTGCATTTAAGTGACATCGTTTTTCAAAGTGCACTAATAAGTAAAAATGACAACTGTGATAAGTGAACGAGTGTCCTGTTCATTTAACGAATTCGTGGATAACCCATTTAGAACTATTGCAATCAATCGCTTGTCCTAGATGTAGGTTTTGATGGTCAGAATCTTCTGAGATAGACTCAAAAGAGATATGAACTAGTATTTTTGGAGATATAAGCCTTTCAAAAGAATAACATTGACTGGATATTTTGGATGATGTTTATGGATAGTAATTCGCTATCTTTGTCCTGCGGAATCCAAAACAAATTAAAGTACTCCTGCGCAAATGGGCCGATGAATTTCTGGGTGCGAAGTCTGTTTAAGGGAAAATGATAAAATACTTTTCCTGTCATTTCTCATTCTTGCTTAATTGTTTCTCATCCGGTATAGCGTCATTTCCACAAAAAGGTACGGTGTGTTTGAACTAGATAAACCGAATTTTTACTTAATTCTTGTGTCCATTTCATGACATTTTTAGTGAGCATGTAGCGACGCAGTCAAAAAAGCTGTGACCAGGTTGGTCATCTACACGGAATGGAGGAGAAATAGTGTGACAAGACTGCATGATGACGGGAATGACCTGTAGATTTGAAGTAAAAGCGTTAATATACAAAGTATTTGAATGTGTTAATTTATGGCTGTAAAGATACACGGATTCGTAGAACCCTAACTGTGATGTCGAAAAAGACAGTTTGAGAAATTATGGTGTCTTGGACATTGACATTTCGACTGCATCTTCTTTGCCACATTCTCTGTTGTTGAGATAAATTTTACATTGACCGGATTACCTGTTGTACGATTTAGTGCACAGGTTAACCTCAACACAGTCTTGTACATTTATCTGATAACCTAAGCAGAGAAATAACTTGCGTAGCAGCTCTGTGAAACACGATGAATAGTCGGTAGGGAAGGGTTGTCCACAGCAAAGGCTTGTTTGTGGTGGCCGTTAAAACTACTGAACAGCATTTTATTCCCTATCGAGACTTGTATATGGTGTGTACAATGTGGAAATCCTTGTTAGGGCTTGGACAGAAAACTTCAATGTAAAAACCAAACCCTTCCCACTTGAGATCCACCATCGATGGCTAACATTTTTGGTAAACAGTTTTTTATTACACACTTTCGTATGATGAATATTAGACGGGATAAACCCGATAGTCACGAGGACCTACCGTTCAGTAGTGGAAACCGGTAACCTAATCCCCGGGACTTGGAGTGGTGAACTACATAAGGCCCCGATAGGTCAGGCGTGGTATTGAACCGGACGACAGCAAAGCTGCCTACCACCAGTTGGGTGGCGGTGGCGGGGCTCGAACCTCGAGCCATAAGGTCCAAAGCACGCCTGTGACAGCGATTAAACCACTGCGCACTAATTTACACTGCCTGGAAACCCCTTTGAATTAGACGAGAATCCTGTATGATTCATTTCGTCTACTTTTAAGGGGCAAATTTTCCTTTTTCGTAGTTTGGTTATTTTCTCTGATTGTGTCACGTTAGTCAAGAGAAAACAGCTTTCGCTTGGCTATTTCAAGCAAATTCTATCGCATAAATGAATATCTTAACTCAATTGAAAATACACAACCCCCCATTAAGTAAATCGTAAACTCAAACAAAAATATTCATTTTTAGTACATCCTACATGTGAAATAGAGTGGAATAGCGTGACAATAAAATGATTTTTGTTTGAAAGCATTGTAAATACTGTACGAAATACAACCTAGTATGTACACTAAGTCAGAAAAGACACTAATTCATTATCCTGAACTCTAAGTGAAAACCGTTTGCTGATTTTTGTCAGAACCTCGTACGAATGATTTCTCTTGAGCTTTTCCATAGACCGTTTCATGCGGAATAGAGCCTTAAGTTGGACTAATCAAATATGTATATTCTCATATATATATATTCCAGTCTGAAGTGTTTGGTCAGTACTTCAGCGACGGCAGCGGAAACTTGATACTAGATATGTTGAAAGCAGGAAAAGCGAGCGATACAGAGATCACTGTGGGGAACGGTGTCCGTGCGGTTTATTCGGGATTATTAAAAGTATGGTATTAATAATAGTGGAACTTAACTATCCTTAATAAGGAAGCTTCCTCGAAGTTTCACTACCGTTGTTGCTTTGGCTGCATGTGATACACTTTGGCGTTCACTTGACTGTGATCGATGGAGAAGAAACATTATCCGGGGAGGGTACGATTCATATTAGCATAGTTATTGTCATAACTAGATTTAATTGAGAATTTACCCTGCTATTGAATATGGGACTTTGTTGGTTTTGATGAGTGCGTCATCGTTTTTTATCATGTTCTGACAGTTTCAAGTTCGCAGGATTGGTTGGCAACTGGACCTATCCTGCCGCGTGTAACATCAGTGTTTGGTGAAGTTGGTTATTGTTCCTGAATTGCAGATCACGTCCGGTACATGTGGGTCAACTAAGAAGCTTAGGGAAGGCAAGCAGGCAAGACGAGAAAACCATCGTTATGAAACTGTCGGTTAAAAACCTCTACACTCCTCTTGATTAGTGTCTGAACGATAAAATCCCTGCCCTTTTTTGATGGGATCGTGATCGGATACGGGCGGAAAGAGGCCAGAATATCTATCGTATCAGGGTTGTCTCCAAAACCGACAGCGGTATGTTCCTTTTCCGTCGATCAACATCAGCGCGGAGAAACTCGTCTAGCTTGCTTTCTCAGGTCCCGACCAATCACCTGCGGGTGACAGAAGCCGTAGCAACAATTTATACTAACCACCAGAAGTACACGTGACCTCGCTCGTTTGTATGTGCGAGTGTGCGTACGATAGCCATGCCGGCCGGCATCCGTACCGCTCGATTCTATGTTAGGTCACGTGTAATGTCACATGCCAACGAGACAGCAGGAAGGCAATGGCTGGGTTGAGCAGCTAATGTGGCACGAAGTGAGTATACGGACAAATAAACTAGACAAGCCGTAACCTGGATCAACTAATCTTGTGTCTGGGTCTGACTTACTTTTTGGACTTTGTTGAATGGAATTCATCACAGAACTAAAACAGCTATAAATTTAATTTTCATGACTGTGACTTGATAGCCATTCTACAGGTTTTTTGTGTCGTTCTTCTGCCTTTCTCCACCATGGTTTTTTAATCGAATACAACACAAACCAAATGAGGCTTATCATGACACGTGAATTATGTACACCTGAATTACCGATTTACTGGGCCGATTCGGATAACGCTGATAGGACACGTTCCTACCCAAACCAGAAACTAAGGGGGCCTGTATTATATCGGCATCATAACTGCATTGATAAAGAATCATGGTCGTAAAATCTTGGGTAACGGAACATATTCTTGCACGGGGAGTTTTCAAAGGAGTATTTAAATGACAATTTATTTTTATTTAATCCTGTATGTTTCATTTCATGCACGCAGCTTTTCAATCTGGTCTTCTCGGACAATGTCTCGCGTAACCCACTTCCACTGGGGACAATCTATCGACAGTTGGAGAACATTGTACAAACTGTCCAACATTTACCTCCCACTCCGCCGATTGGACTGCTAACCAGTCTTCCACGAGATGACTGGGCAAAAGCACACGCAGAACTGAGACAAAGTGAGTAAATTTACCATACGTTCTTTACCATTCAACACTGCATTTGATTTTGTTCTGCATGAGGGGACTGGAGATAACCTTTGAGCTATGCGACGTGCCCGTATCAAAGGAGCCGTTCAACCGAATCATCACTGAATGTGGCTTGTTTTATGTTTGTTTGGTTTTGTGACAACGTCTAAAATCCAGTTCGACTTGGTTCATAAAAACAAACTAGTAGTCTGTGTAGTTGTCATCAAAGGAAACTAATCCCTGTAAATGCGATCAGATAGCCGTAGCTTCTCATGGCTAGTGCAGTTCAACTATAATTAGGGAGAGTTTGATATTTTAAACACAAGTTTGCACATTGATGGTATTTATTACCCTGTCTGTTGCTTGAGTACATTAGACTGTTCAGCAGGCAATCCACCGTAAATTGAGCGAGCATTGCACTGTTGGGATGCACTGTGCAGTTGTGTCGGCTTTGCTGTGTATGTAAATCATTAATTTTATCATCATTAGATTTTGAAGCTCGCCGACTCCACGTGGGACTAAATCAGAGGCACAAGGATAAAACACCCTCTCGAACAGAATTACGTCTTTCATTAATATTTCGGAGTACAGGTTAGTGTTTGCCCACACAGTTTGGTCTAATCAGCTTAGTTTTTTCACAGATGGGATTGATGCCCGAACTGTGTTTTACCATAGATATTGAATTTCCCTCAGTCAAAAGTAAATCAATTTTTTCGGAGTTCAAACAGTTTAAGTCAAGAATACATTGTCTGCAGGTCGTTTGTCCGATACCCAACACCAGGGCTTTTGTATCAAACGATAGCCCTTCAATGAACCGGTTCCCCCTTCCCGAAAGGTTTGTACAACTAAAGGTTTATTTCTAAGGAAATGAAGAAAAATACTAAAAAGTATTTTTATACTCGTTGAATACGTGTATAAGGGACGAAGAGAGAGAGGGAAATGGAATAGCACGAAATGTTTGGTGTTACTTTTGTTTGGTCAACCGTCAACCTTGCCCTCCGGTGCACTAGTCCTGGTTGTTATCCTATTCGGCTGCCCCTTCGATCGACGAACAAAAAAGAAGAGTTGTTCGCACCAATCAACCATATCATTCGTTGTCTCTGGTCATTGATTAGGCCTCCGATTGAGAGACTGGACTCTACCTATAATCCCGGTCCGGCTTTCATGCCCAGTCTTTTTCATGACTACGAGCACGAAGTGAATCTTACCCCGAAAAGTATGTGACAAATGAGTAAACCGGTTGCGCAAGAGAACCGAGTTGATACCAGAGCGACAATATTTATGATACTCAACCAAATCACACACACTCTCCATCAAACCGATCCGAAGGAACCCAGAACATGGTGTCTCACGTGACGAAGTCGAATCGTTAGGCCTTCTCGTACCCTCGCACTAGTCTGACCATAGTTTTGACCTTTTTCCAACAACCAATATTTCCGAANTACAGATACTAGCACACTTGTTTGTTGAACTGTGGCTTACCACTTTTGATTAGAGCACTGGATTATGCGATTTACAGCAAACGAATTTGATAGAAAACGAATACGAATATTCATGACGAAAAATGTCGAGGAAATTGAATGCAAACTCGAAGGTGCGCTCGATGTCAAACATTCTCCGGTACTTGTTCACAGGTTCTGATCAAACAATCGGGGCTTTTTGGTTGACTTGTTCTCTGAATCGTGCTACGGTTTTTCCTTTGATGTTACATTGAAAAGACAGTATTACATCAATGCTAACGATAGCGGGTTTGTAATGGTTCACGACAAATGGAACCAGAACAGAGGATGATTTAGTAAGGACGCTTCAGTGGAATCTTATGTCTTGGTTTTATTCGTTATGGATAATTCCAAACCAATTATCGCTACCCTTGACGGTAAGCACAACGCGCATTATTTTCAATCTGATTGATTTCAACTTTGAGTATATATATATATATATATATATATAATCACATTATACTAACAAAGCAATCACATTATCGCACCTGATTTCTTTGGACTGAAATCCATGCCCGATGAGATAATCAGGAGGAAGTTTCGTTGTACAGTGAGTGCTAATATCAGGTAAGTTACCGTGCTAAAGCCTCATCACCGCGCCGAATCAAAAACGCTTTATGTTTAGATTCGGGTTCGTCGGATTAGATGGATTTCTACTTTCTCACTGGAAATAAAAGATTATATTGTGTTCCACAGATGTTTGGTGTTGTAGGGTATGTGCATATTCCATAGTAGATTGAGCAATGTGTTATAGTTTGATGGGAATCAATGTGACGTTACCCTTGCATCTGATTGTAGAGAAATCAACTGTGGCAAGTACACCAGTGTGTGTATGTGTACGATTTGATTTGTGGGTGAAAATATTCGCTTTTGCAACGGGCGTTTTTGTAAAGAGATCGGATAGAGACCACTGGCTTCGGTGATGTACCTGACGGTTTTAGTGATACGGCGGGTTGTGACTAAATTGCTTTGATCCCTACTACACACTTCACTTGCCGTCAGCAGTAGATGGGTCACTGAATAGATCAGTGCTGTAGATGGGTCACCTGGAACTGGTCTCAGGTGTTAAATTGATACGTGTTACAGTTCGATCACCGAATCGTTGAACTGATTGGGGTTCTATTCGAACCGATTCTAAAGTCCCATCCACATACGGGCCACCCTCATCCATATCAGATGTTACTGCATGTACCACCAAACACAAAAGAAATGCACCGTTTCGGACTACACGCACAATTGTCATCACCGGAGACAGGTTTTTGTCTGATGCAGAATGCTTATTTCGGTCGAATACATGATTCAGCATCTGTTAGCAAGCACAAAATTACCGCATCTTAATTATATTTTCCAATTATTGTCGCAGAAACGCCATAATGACAATATCTGATCAAGGGAGATGGCATCGGTTAGTAGCAGAGCAACGGGGCGTGAATAAACAATATTATGAATAAACGATTAAATACTCCAGATAATACTTTTGATTGGTTGGATAGTCATAATAATTTAGTTTTCGTAGAAAAATAGATGTTTCAGTACAATTCAGTATACCAGACTACCAAATAATGTAAGTTTGTGCCGTAAGAGACAAGACTGAGTTAAAGCCGTCTCTGTTCATATATCCTCCATCTGTCTGTTTTTCTATACTTCGTACTTTCACAGCAGCCAGTTAGGAAGGAAACAGAGGTTGGGACTATTGTATGAGGTCCAAAATAGAGCTCATTGTTTCTTCAAGTGGAGTCATATTTACTTACTCTGCTATGCAATATTGGACTCCCAGGGCTAAACTGAAAGCAGGTGGCGGGGACACAATCAACATAAATCGTCAATTCCCTAAGTTATTCAAACCCCACCAAGTAGCTCATCGAACTGACATTTGCCTATTCACCAATGCCAGTCACTGTACATCACCAATTGTGGCTAGATTTTTTGGCGATGCACCCTCAATGATCGCTCAGTTTATGATTCGTTTGACACTTTTTCGATCATCATGAATGATGTACCTCACGCGCATGGGATCAAAGCACTCTGATTGATTCAAATGAGGACGGATTTTCAGCATGGAATTTCACTAAACGAATGAAGATAATAGAGAAGACGATGCACCAATATGCATATATACTGCTCCCTAAGTATCTTTTAGACCCAAGATATTCTAAAACGTCCAAGTGGAAATATTAGTTTTCGCTCTGTTCGTTGGAAGTCACTAGTCAAGTTATAGTGAAGATCTATAAGTTTTAATTACTTACACCATACAAAGTAGTTAAAAAGGAAGCCATCAATTTTGGTCCGTTAGTATCAGACTATTTTGGCGATGCACCGATTCATAAGCCCATTTGGACATTTACGTCTTGACGACAAACGACTGTGTTGAACGAAGTGCAAAATGCCCCATGGTGGAAACTGATGGAACTTGTTAGAATCATGGCTGAGTCCGCTTCTTATTGACAAATAACTCTTTTTTCAATAAGCTGTGGAGAAACGTACATTGCCAAGTGGGAGAAATCTGTCATTTGGTTGGGATAGGGGCTGCAAGGGGCCAATTTTAAAAGAATAACCTTGAAAGTTTTCGTGGTCCTTGGGATTCAACAGCGAGCAGATTGTGGTTTGGCTAAACGTAAACCAGTCTCCGCGTGGAGGGGGACGGGCATATGGTGCATCATTCTAGTGAACAATGAGGTTTCTAGAACGAATTTTGTAGATGTTATTTGTGGTTGTAAGAACAATTTCCCATTTGAATTCTATAATGTTCATAATTAATTAGGACTTGTGAATTGGGTTTCCCTTGACATGGCCACAAAACGTTTTTAAAGCAATAATTCCACCGACTACAAGTCTAACATGTCCAACTTCATCTATGAGTGGGACTACAGTTAAGTGAAGGCACTCCGATATATAGAAACTTCCGAGCAGGATGCCATCTATGATCGTTTTCAGTTTAGTGTGGATATACTTATACTCTGGGCTGTGTATTATTGTCCTGGTGTGGATCTCACCCCTTGGGTGTTTATTCTATCCTCGACCCGTCGATCGATTTGATCCGCTTATACTGGAAAATTTCCGCGGAATAATTATCGACTATATGATGCATTTCGTAAACGGTCAATGCGACTACATGTCAAATGCTCTTGCCTATTATGTGTGCTGCATTTTTGCGAATTGATATCATACAGTCGCATGGCTGTCTCTGATTGGGAATTACGTTATTCCATTTCGATCTGACCTTTATTGGCAGAACCTTGTTGCAGTTTGCGAGCATGGTTTAATTTAGCATTTCTCGCCGTACCACATGATCAAACATGGACACCGCAGAAAAAGAGTTTTCATCAGTCGTTTGAACAATTAAATACGCCGTTAAAACAAATAAACATAGTTGTTTACCAAAACGTTACAAGTGCACCCACCTAACCGGATGATGATTAGACGGAAGAGGATGTTTCCTGTTTTGAATTTACCTAAGCGTCTGGATTTCTGATCAGTATCTATTAATCATGAGTGTGCTGTGGACGAAAGGAAAATACTGCACTACGTTTATATATAGGATAGGCCGTTAAGTGGAGCTTCCGTGCTACCAATATCTCGAAAGACGAGAAGACTATAGGGTTGACTATAGGGTTGTATCGTATGCAGTAAGCACATCATCATGCCTCGTGGAATGCCCAGTTGGATAGTTGGTCTTTGGTGGGGGGCATAAATGCACTTCATGTTCATAGCAGTCAACCGAGTCAGGCAGTATTGGTGTGATCTTTGAGAACGTAGAAGTCACTTTTGTAGATGAAGTTCATTTGTGAATGGAGATTCACTTGCAACCGGAAGACTTGTTTTAACGAGCATCCTAGCATCATATATGGTGTTCCTTTGATTATATCGCCTCCATTCGACAATCGGTTATCGCGCAGCGTTTCAAATAGTCTGGTGCCTCGGATTTATTTCAATTGCATTAGTGTAAGGTTTTTTTAATTTCAAGGTGATACCGACCTCCAACTTCTGGAATCCTACTTCCTTATTGAGTAAAAGCAGACTAATTATTTTTAGCTTTTCTACAAAAACATGTCTGTTTTGTGTACACCCATATTCTTCCACGGTTCTAACCTGTTTATCCTACCTACTTTAGGGTCAGGGGCCTTCGAATCACAACACTAAGCGCACTGTATACCAACTCATAACGCTCAGCCCATGCATCGTACAATATTGGCTATGCGGTTCACTAATACTAGTTATAGGTCTGTTGTCTGAATTGAATTCTAGAACGGTAAATCACTGGTACATTTCTAGATTTGTGAACGCATGTCCCTACTACTCACATCACATCAAAAACGATCAACAACTATCCCATTTATGTTGACCCAAAGCACGCTTTTGGGGTTTGTGTGATAGGTATCTAGGCCTACTGTGGAACTTAACGCATCATTCATCACGATGAGCCATTTTCCAGGTCTCGTGCGAGTGAGTCAACTGTTTGAATCTCTATCACCACCGCTACCCGGTTGTCATATAGATAGTGATAAATTTGTGGTCTTCCTCTAGGGTTCCGGTTTCGAACCTCATTGTAGAAATATAGTAGAAAATCCTGTCGCAAGTAACCAGATGGTCAGAAATTTCAATTTACTTTCAGTAGCACAGGCGTCCAAGAATTGATTTCAAATTTTATCATAGTCGCTGATCTACTTAACAGTGCACAATTAGTTATAATTACTTTACTGAAAATCGACGGATTGGTTCTTTCCTGGCGATATCACACAACCTCCTCTGACAACTTTTCCTTATGTCTGCAAAAAAGGATAACTCCTATACATAATCACCTGAATATCTCCACAAACCTTACTTCTCTTTTTTCGGACAGGTTTCCGTAACGCGGACAATTTCTCCTCACTCGAGCGCAGTCTGTTTGTTCTCTGCTTGGACGACACGGCCAATCTGCCCCCGGCTGAAAAGTCCACAAACAATATGTGGGATCTGCCAGCTCGTGACACAGTCAGTGCGTTACACATGTTACACGGGAATTTGATCAGTTCAGGCAATCGATGGTTTGATAAAACAGTCGAATTTATCGTCTCTCGGGACGGTGCAGTCGGCCTGAACTTTGAGCACACACCGGCCGATGCGGGTGTCCATATGGCCTTGATAGAGGAAGTGTACGCTGCGATGGAACAGATCTTGGTGCCCGAGAGTCGAATGCCTACATTTGCCAATCCGCAAGAATGTGAATGGGAATTGTCCTCATCCATTCAAGACGAAATTGAGCGAGCAGGACATTTGCTTAAAGAGTGAGTTGCATCGATCCATGAAGTTAGCATTTTTCGTAAGCCTGTATGTTTATGTGACGCATAAAGTTTAGCCAACCGACTTACCACACACTAAGGCCTCCATCAGATGAAACTTACCATACGCATTAGCTTACCAGTCGGGTATATAAATGTGACCTAATGAATTTTTCACGACAGTTGCATCATACCCCCAGAGGTGTTTGGTTAGACGTAGTGAAATTATTCCTTTTGAACACGAACAGCCGCAGTGTAGCTCTATCTTTTGTACACCCCATTTACATCGGTCAAGTTATATTTGTAGCTAGAAGCACATTAATACAGGTGGTTTAAGTATATTCCTCCTCGCAATCATTTCAAGTAATAATTGTAAGATATGCCTCATTTCTGTATAGTCCGTTTGGTTTAATTTTCTGTCGGATATCTCAAGACAACTCAAAGATAACAGTGGATTTAAACATTCTCTTTTGTATTTTTTTACTATAACTATAACGTATCATATCCATAGTTCCTTTCGCACTCTTTCATACACACAATACATCAGTGGAGGGACGTGTCCATACTGTGTTGTAGTTTATCGTTGTGCGATTACGGTAGCTAACTATTCTACCGTATTATTGTCAGTCATTGTACACTACCCGGGTATTAGTGTGACACTTTTTAATTAGGTTATTTCAAGAGGATTACTTTAGATGATTTTATTTATTTGTTTCTCAAACTTTTTACCCCTGTTTCACCGACCAGACTGGTTGACTCTTTGTNAATACGGTTCTTTTAGAAAATTCGGTTCTTCTGCAATCAAGTCACTTCAGCTGAGCCCGGACGCTTTCTTTCAGGTATCGGTTACTCTTGATGGAAATGTTTGTCAAAAGTTCGTTTGAAAATTTTATTTATGTGTGTAATCGATTGACATAAATCGGAAAGTGCTTTTCCATTTTGGCCACGCCACTAAATATTTGAAGCACTTGAGTGTGTTTGCTCAAAGCCGAAGCACGGGATGTAATTGATGTCGGAGGCGCAGGCATATTTTTCTTCGCAACACCCTACCAATCTCCTCCAGTGCTGACCTCACAGGATATA